ATTGCTCCCTGAACTGGATAGCCCAGGCTAGTCCAATCTTGTCAGATCTCAGAAGCTAAGCAGGGTCAGCCCTGGCAAGTATTTGGATGAGAGACCTCCGTGAAATATCAGGGGCGTGACACAGAGGCAGGCAATGGCAAACCACCTCCAAAATGTCTCTTGCCTTAAAAAACAAGTCTAGCTTGCTACCTAATGCACATAATGCTAAAAGAGCTACAACTTCTGGCTGCCAGACAATCTTAGGATCTCCTGGCTATACTACACACACTGCCATTAGATGAACAAAACCTATTGAGGCAGACTCAGCATGGGTTCTGTAAGGGAAGATCTAGTCTCACTAACCTGTTAGTGTTCTTTGAGGGGGTGAACAAACATGTGGACGAGGGGGATCCAATAGATATTGTTTACCTTGACTTCCAGAAAGCTTTTGATAAAGTTCCTCATCAAAGGCTCCTAAGTAAGCTCAAAAATCATGGGATAAAAGGACAAGTCCTTCTATGGATCAAAAACTGGCTAAGAGAGTGAGCATAAATGGGCAATTTTCTCAGTGGAGGGGGGTAAGCAGTGGGGTACCAGAGGGATCAGTACTTGGTTCTTATGTTAATTAATGCATTGCTCCTTGACCACCACCCCAACCCTCATACCTGCAAGAAGGCCAAGCCGCTGGATTCTGCCTGCAGCAAGCGTCCGTACAGCATCACCCACTGGTTCACCAGCCAAAGGATCTTCTGCCTTTTGCTCAGGACGTACGCAGCCTTATCGTGTTCCGTGCCATCGGAAGGCTCCGCATGGAAGGTGAGTGTGAGTTAAGGAAGTAAAGAGAGAGTCACAAGGAAGCCGTACAGACCCCGGGCAGACAGAGACCAACACTGCACGGTACTTTTTGAACAATTGGTTTCCTAAGTTCATTTGTCAAAATACTGGAAGCAAACTCAAATGACACAGATCTCCAACAATGCCAATGATTCACAGGTATGGGGAAACTGGAGGGCAAGAGACTTTTGGAGAGCAAAAAGAGAGAGAAAGTTTCAGAGGGCATCCGTGTTGCTCCGCAGGAGAAGAGCTAGATCCGAGTCCAGCGGCACCTTAGGGACCAACAAGGTTTCCAGGGTTTAAGCTTTTGAGAGTCAACGCTGATTTTGGGGGCAGGGCCGGCTCACTCACTAGGCAAACTAGGCGATCACCTAGAGCGGGATGGCCCTTAGGGGCACCAAACTCCACCCGGCCCCTTACTCTGGGAGTTTCTTGATTATTTGTGTTTTTTATTCTTCCTAAAATGCATTTATTTTTTAAAATTGGTGGGCGCACGGGGGGAGGGCATAAGGGAGCCTCGCCTAGGGTGCAAAATAAGCTGGATCCGGCCCTGTTTGGGGGTATAGGGTTCTGAGAGTCTGAGAAAAGGTAGCTTTGACTCTCAAAAACTTATACCCCAAATCTGTCGCTGGGCTCTAGTTCCAAATCTAGTTCCCAAACCCCTCCCCCCAAGTCGTACTTGTTGAAAAGTTGCTGGGAAATCAGCAAATCACAATTTAAACCCACACTATTGGGTTTAACAGCATTCCGTGCACCTTGGTGTTTAGTCATGCCGGCCACATGACCATGGAAACGTCTTTGGACATCACTGGCTCTTCGGCTTTGAAACGGAGATGAGCACCGCAACCCCAGAGTCGGACTCGACTGGCTTTCGAGCAAGGGAACCTTTACCTTTACCTTTATTGTGACAATACTATTTTAATTCATATCAGGGATGTCTGCACAAGGTATGCGTACAGAACTTCATAAAAGGGAAGTGACAAAAAAAAAACAAGCAAAACAACTGTGTGCTATATTTCCCGCAACCTGACAGTTCTATAGCGTGAGAATCAGCAACAGTGTCTTCCAGAGAGTTGCCAGCTCTGGCGTGGGAAATTCCTGGAGATCTGGAGACAACAGTGCCTGGAAGGGCGGAGTTGGGGGAGGGGAGGGAGGGCAGCGGGAATGTGATGTCATAGAGTATGCCCCCTCCCCAAAAAACCCTGCCATTTCCTTCAGAGAAACTGATCTCTCTAGTCCAGCAATCAGTTGTGATTCTGGGAAAACTACAGGCCCCACCTCGAGGCTGGTAACGCCAGGGGTCATTTCCTGCAGGAGTGCACAGGAGCAGAGCTCCGGCAGTAAAGAGCCTAGGGGGCGGGCACACGCAAAAAGCCCCGCCCCTGCTCCCAGCAGCCCTCAGTCAGAGCAAGAAGCAGCCAGGTAAGTTGCAGAGCCTCTCCGGCCCAAAGCAG